AAAAACACAACCAAACGGGAAAAAAATCAAAAGTAAAAAAGAACTAACGATGGAAGTCCTTCAATTCGTGTTGCGGGGCAGACCTTTTTGGTATCCGTTCCGATCACAGTCTAGAAAAAACTATTCCAGAGTTTATTCGTATCACATCTAAAAAAAATTTCTTTAGTACTTATTTTTTGATTTATTTAGTCGATGACTGGCACTTTTTCGGTCATCTCTTTTGAATTATGTTCTAATTGATGATTTATAAGATACTTTGCTTAAAACTAGAGAATATTGAACTATAATCTTTAGTTCCGGTTGGAACAACTTTTTTCTCGTAGTCTCAGTCCCATCCGGTCTCAGCAACTTCTCATTCTGGTGGTCCAGGTCTAGGCCCATACCCACATCCACATCCACACCCTTTTTCTTATGATCTCAGTGACCGAAACTGGAGCTACAGTTGGTCTTGCACATCTCTAGTTGAGATTATGTGCATTATGTGGATTTAAATGAGCTATGAATACTCTGAAAGAAGCTCGTGCCCTTAGCTTATTGCTGTGAAGATTCTGCACTTTTTAAATGAATGCTGTGATCCTCAAGAAAAAAAATTCATTTTCAAATTTCGATTTGTAATTTTGTATAGAAACAGGTCTTAACTAGAATAGATTATTGTGAAAGTTACAGATCTTGCCACTATTACTATTCTAAGATAGAACTATCATAATAGTATGTCTTTTACGTCACTCGTATAAATGAGCAGATTTAATGTTCTTATTTTAGTATAGAAGTCAATCAAAAGGCCTGAAACTTTCACAATAAACTTCTCTTGTTTAAGTCTGTCTCTATGCGAAATTTCAAGTCGAAATTTATAAACGAGTTTTTCTGAGAGGGACTATGAGATTCATTTAGGAAGTGTAGTAGCTCCGCAGCAATAAACTACAGGCACAAACTTTTTTCAAGATATACATAGCTCATTTGGTTCTATATAATCTTAACTTAAAAGCAATTTATCAGTCAGAGTACTTTTCTCGTAAAATTCTTTTTATTTATAACAAAATTTATTTTATTTTATTTTTCAATAGCTGCTCGTGCTGGTGGAGCGAAGAAAGGTAAACAAACAACAAGTCGTAGTAAAGCAAAAGCAAAACAATGTAAGATTTAATTTTTAAAGAAATAAAAAAACAAATATTATGATAATTCATTTTGATTTTTAGCTGATGATAATGACGATGATGATTTAAAAGAAAATGATGGCGACGATGATGGTGATGGAAATGTATTTAAACGACCAATGAGAAAAGAACCAAAAGTGCAAACAATAAGTCGATCAAAACGTGGTGCGGACGCGTAACTGCACGTAAAAAAGCAGCTGTAGTACCGAGTGATGATGAAGATGATGATTAACTTATTTTTTTTTGTTTTTTGTATTATATTAAATTGTATATTTTGATTTGGTTATTTACTTTTTCTTTTGATGTTATTCTTTCTCTTTCTTCTTCTCTTAATATCCATTATTAGAAGATTTTGTTATGCATAATACTTTCATTTATTTTGTGCTTCATTGTGAAAAAAAAATTATAAACGGTTTTGTTTCTGTCTGAATATTGCAAATAGAAGATCTGTTAATGAAACAATTTTTTTTTGAAAAGGTTAATATTAATTGAAAATCATTGATATTTTTCTAACAGCAAGAAATATGGGGTGCACTCTAAAAAAAAAAGGTGCAGTACCGAACCAAAAAAGGTATCCTAGACGAAAAAAGGTTTCGTACATAGTTCGGAACTTAAAAAGGTTTAGAATTCGTTTCAAGTTTCGGAACTTTTTGGGTTCGGTACAGACCACACTGAAAAATTCGAAAAAGTGTCCTGAGCCAATAACAAACGATTTTAGAAAGCTGAGGTTTGGTACGA